AGACTCTCCTCGAAGACGCCTCGCACAAAGGGTGCCCGGCAAGCGGGTACCAGAAAAACTCCTCCGTCCTACACTCCACTCCCTCCTCCTTGCTGACATGCCGGTGCTTGTCTTGATGAAGTACGTTTGTACTGCCCAGATCCAACAGGCCCTGCACAGTGTATCGTAAGTCATGAAGACGAGCGCGGGCAAAACGGTGGAGTTGGGTGTGCCATTTCCCCTCACAACTCCTAGTACTTTTGCCACTCCTGCTCCTCCTCCTGCCATTCGATGCTCTTCATGCAGCTATGTTTAGATGTCATTCTTCGAGGGATCGTTGCGGACGAGGCGAGTGGACGAGGAGGCTGGCTTCGAGGCAAGGCCTCACAAACTTCGGTGCATACTGTTCGCCGTAACCTTACCTGGAAACATATATGATGATCGTACTGCTGCTGCTCCTGCTGCTGCTGTGTAATATGGCCGACGTGATACTCGCAAAGCCTGGGCAATGAAATGGTCTGAACTCGGAAGCGAATTTTGGAAAGCCTGAGATCTGAAGCATCACGGCCGCTACGGCTGCTCTTTCCATTTCATGCAAGTGACATTGATCCTGCGATATGGAGTCCGCCACCGTCCTCGAGCGGTGTGGTGCCAGCGTGCCCGGGCAACCTATGCCTGTATCACGAGGTCTAGGCTTTGAGTTGGATCCTCAGATATCTGTGGTAAGGCATGAGTCATCTTCTTAGGCCCTTCTGCTTGTAACATTGTAAACCAGAAAACAAATCTAATCTATGACAGCCATCTAGCCGCAAATGTTGGCAGGACTTGCAGCTTTTCCGTGCATGCCTGCACATCGGTGGTGCGTCTGCTGCGATGTGTCTGCGTGTTTGCTTGTGCGCGCACGCGGAATGCACGTGTGATGTCTGCGCACGTCGTCTGCAATCAGGTGCATTGAGGCGTATGCATGTGGTGTGTCGGGTTGTGTGCATGTGTGGCGTGCCGTCATGTCGTGTGTGTGAGGCGCACAGGCAGGTGCAGTGAGCTGACCCAGGAATCGAACCCGAAGAAGATCGTACCGGCATGGAGCATGCAAGGCCCAGGGTGCAGCACCCTCTAAACTCAAACGATGCAGATTCCCACAAACACATGTGTGACAGCACCGGCAGAGTTCTGAAGTGAGACCCCTCGACTACTCCATACAAGACCGATAGCTAAGGAAGGGCCCACAGAGCTACAAAAATCGTCCCCATATTCATAAACAGCAAACCATTTCTTTTCAAGTCTAGGGCCTGAGTCCGAGACCCTATCCTTTTTGAGCCTGTGGATTCTTGATGCACCACCAAACCCTCAGCGTCCTGCGTTGCCACACTTCCAGTCACCTTGAGAAGCGAGGCCTCAAGCAGCATCATGTCCTCGCAAGAACAGACTCTACGCCGGGCAGTCTGATCATAATCAATGCTCGCAGACGTTCGGCAAAAATCATGCATTGCCGAACGTGCACAAGGAGATGCATCGCGAACCCAGAGGACTCAACCCTCTATGCACAAACGTGCACAATTACCAGAACACGAAGCAACAAGACTGACACACAACTGCTCGCCACCATCATCCCATGATACCAATTTCCTTGTGAAGTCGCCAGGCTCGAAAACCAACAGGCACGTCGAAACCAGGGAAAGCGAAGGCAATGACAGGGATGAACAACAAAGACTACCACAAATTACAAGCTTGAGCAACTCTTGCACATCAAAGATGGAGTGATTTCGAGTCTGCGGATTATGTCGGGACCACTTCCAGCGTTCTTGCTTGTGCCTGGTACTTGTGATCTCTTGCTGTGGCCGTGGCAGTATACTCGTGACTCGGGCATGCTCGCCACGCCAATTTCAGAACTAAACAGCGGCAATTGCTAGGGCGGCATGGAAACGCATCTTCTGAGCCATCGTAGCACTAGTTAGCCGTTCAGAATGCTGAACTTGTGTTCTCCATCGTTTCTGCTCTGCATGTGCTGCCGTTCGATTCATGTAGAACTCCACGTCAGAATATTCAACACTCCGCGAGAAAGGGTCAGGAAGCGAAAGCAGCTCGTTAGTGCGGGTGACGAAAAATGAGAATTGACCGTCGACTAGCGGTTTCCCAAACGCCGTTGCAGCTGAGGGTCCCCACCAACCGCCACGCCACCACCCCAACGAGCGCCACCACCTGTCACCTTGGCTTTGAATGTCTTTGCGCCCCTCTTCGAATGGAACTGCTGCGACTACACGTCCTCTTCGTTACATAATTTAAGGCCAAGACGTCAGGGCCACCCAAGTTCGCCCAGGAACTCAGAAGATTGCTGTTTTGAAGGAGCAATATTTGGCTTGCAAGAACGACTTCGACTTGTTATCTTCGGGCCTGACTGTAATAGTCAAGGCAGTTGCAGGCATGGTGTAGGGATTAGGTTAGAAAGATAAGAAGGGTGCAAGAGTAGGCAGCTAGAGACGAAACCGCGAACTAAGCGACCAACTACAATCTGCCAGGTTGCCCAGTCTCAGGAACTGCAAATCCTAAAGTATCAAACCCCAAAACTAAACCTTATTGTGAAGACTGTGCCGAAGTGGCTGTGACGTTCGCCCTTTCGAGCGTCATGGCTCCTGCGATGTCTTTGTCAAACAGCTAGCTCCGGAAACAAGCTTTCGTTGCAGCGCCGGCGCTTGTCGGAGATCCCGGCAGAAAGACAAGCCGGAGGACATGCAGTCTGTCGCGTGTGCTTGTGCAAATTCACATGACGTCCTTCTCTACATCCAAGTTGCTGGACGGCCTTTAAAGTCCTAGGTTTAGAAGAATAGTATAAACTTTGTCGGCTCCTCGGCTGTGGAATGTTCCGCCACCTTGCATGGAGCTGTTTGGCGCACTCTGCTGTGTCTCCACCTGGGTGTCCTGGAAGAGGATGCTCCTCGGCTTTCCGTTTGCTGGCTCATTTTTATGTGATCCTCGTATCATTCGCGCATGCATATTTATTCCATTCCCTGCTGCCTGCAACTGCACTCCTGAGATTCTTTACCTGACTGGCTATAAGGCACCTGGCACGACGAGGCCTGCTAGCCAGAGGAGGGAACACACGCTGTGACATGATGGCTTCGGATTTAACACTTGTGGGGGCGCTCCAGATCACCCCGTCTCGAGGCCTGCAGCACGGAAGATGTTACGACATGTCAATCGTAAGATGTTTGAACTAGGGGCCTACGTAAAAGCAGAATGAGGAGAAGCTCCCGAGTCGTTTGGGTGCATGTTGACTGGCGATATGACAAGGCCAGGGCGCCCTGCTTCGAAGCGCACCGACCTCACGCGTAGGCTCCCGGTGATCCGCAAGCTGCCTTCCGTCTGTAGAGTCACGAGGCCATCGCCAAGGAGCAGTGAGGGTTCCTCACTGTTGCCAGGCCCCAGAAGCTCGCAAACAGAGGCAGTGTGCGGCCTCAGCAGCAGGCTTTAGGGTTTGGGGTCCGGGTCTTTTGTGCTACCACCGCCTCGTCCGGCCTAGGACCCTGGCAGGGTCTCAAGTCTGAGCAAGGCCTTGGGCCCTTGTAGTTCTCAACTTACTTAACTGAGTGCGGGCGGCTTAATGCGGAAGCACCTGCCCACTGGCAGCTGATGGCCACAAAGGTCATCCCATTGGACCACTTCGCAATCCTGAGGCCAAGAGGGTTGCCCCTAGTATCCCTCGGGCCAGGCAATGCATACACCATCCGGCGAGCCCCTGGCCCAACAAGCCAAGACCACTCGTAAACCCAGGTTATCGAACACTAGCATTCCAATCATGGAGAACAGCGCAGGCAATTTCAACACGTCGGCAAACCGACACGAATCGACCGACCCTACAACTCGCCCCCCTGACACAATCCAGAACAACAACTGACACAAACCCCCTTGCCATAGGATCTTGGATTTCAGTCCCCAGGCCTCGGTACTCCACTGCAGACGCCGCCCCGGTATCTCAGAAGGCACTTGGCCTGGCAAAGCTCCACACTCTGCCCTCCCGACAGTCGCCTGAATATTGGGCGGGTAGTCTCACATTTTGTTCGGGTCTGTAGGTAAGCTGCACACCCCAAAAACTCTTCTTTGCGAGACAAACTAGACGAGATCATAGGTGATGATTCGGTGATGATGGTCCATTACAGCGAAACAAGGTTTCTTAAGAACGTGCTGCGAACCATCTTGATACCATGGACTCATGTTGATGGTAGTTTTGAAGGCCACCCGGAGGTCGCGTTAGTTTCTGGGTCGCATCAGAGCTGCAGCACGCAGTGCTCAACACCCTCGACCTCAAAATGCGTTATTAGCTGAAGACTGCCAGGAACTCCCCGCATGCTTGAGCATGCAAGGTATAGGGAGCCAGAGTCAAGAGTTGTAAGGCGAAATGCAGCCGAGAGGCCGGCTGATTGAATGTGCTTCGTAAAACGTCCGGTGAAGCACGTGAAAGCCAGAACCGCTGCTGGCACTAAAAGAAGCACCTTTGCAAGCCGAAGCAATTGAGGATCAAGCTTCGGCCGCACCATGCTTAAAAACTTGGCACGGATCCTGTTGCCACTTGTGGGCCTCACACGGATCGTGCCCGCAAAATCGTATTATGGCACCTCTCTTGTAAATCGCAACAGCAGTTATAAGGCTGCAGAGTCTTGAATGCATGCCTGTATGGGGTGTGGTTTTCTCGGCTGCAATCACGCCGCAACTACACATGTAACGTGCCTACAAATGCTGAGCGGAGCCAAACGGTCGCATTGCACCCGCGCAGCTATCGATAGCGCTGTTCTAGTTTCGAGTCTTGCCTGCTCAAAATATCGGCAGATTCATCCAACACGTGTGCGGTTACAACTCGAGAAATAGTAATTGGTGCTTGTAGCAGTGCAAGAATAGCTGCGGCAGCAAAGGCTGTCATAGTCTCTTCTATACTAGTACTACTCCGGCCACCACCCTTGCTGCTGTTGATGCTGCTGCTGCTGCCAGCTGTTGCTGCACCGCAGTTGGGATGATGCTCAGGGATTGGCTGTTTCCGGATCGCGTGGCACGAAGCCACCAACGAGGATTGCCAGATTCACGCTGGAGAGCGGATGTCCTGGTCAAACGCACAGAGCTTCGATGGAAAACCTTTGACGACTCCGTTTGGGCTCAAGCTTTGCAATGCATGCTTGGGTAGAAATTTCCTTGCTTCGAGACGCAGCTCTGTTGTCGTTCCATCTCGTCTCGAAAACAACGATAACCTGGCGCATGGAGTTGCTATGTAAACATGTTAACAGAGGATAACAGAGGTGGAGCTTGTCGAACACCCCTGTCATGAGCTCATGGCCAAGGCTTGGACTTTTCTCGGCCCTCCAAGAACGCAGAAGAGGGTCCGTGTACTATCGAGTACGGATAGGCCAGCTGGGCGTTGCTTTGGAATTTTTCATGCACCCCCTGTTCAATGACGGATTTCAATCGAAGAACCTGGCCTTCGTCCAGTTGCGCTTCCCGGAGAAGGCATGTGGCAACCTGGGTCGGCTTGAACTGAACCGGTTGGGAGTCGACAAATCACAACTAGCTCGTTTTGCCGGGGTTCAGCATCTGAAGGCTTGCGGCACGCTCTAGATTCGTAGGACTTCTGGTTGAGTGTGAACGGCTTGGAGGGCAAAGTTCGAAAACGAAAAACACATCCCCACTTAAGCCATTGCAAAGAAGCAGCTAAGATCTGGAGCTTCTTGGCGCGTTGCAGTCTGAAGAATAATTTCAGCATTTCAACCATGGCGCAGCAACACCATCAGGAACATTGACCACAAGTACCAGCAGTACACTGGCCGCAGCAGCTGTTGCTGTAGCAGGAGAAGACACTTATGCCAGAAGCGAACCAAACCGCAGCCGTGTCAAAAAGACGTTCGAAGCGACAACACTATGAAGGAGTATACAACACAAAAGCAACGGCACAACAATAATAGTCACCAAGCAGCGATACTGCAACTGGAAAGAAAAGTTTGTCATGCCTCACAGCTCAAAACAAAAAAGCTCTGAGCCTGGGGTCCCGGCCGCGCATCCTTGCGAGAAGGCTAAGACCTTTGACGCGTGAGCTAGGATCTGCAGCATACATGCTGTGACCTTGTTGTATATGGCTGCAGTTGCAGCAATCGTTGCCATCAGCACCACCATTGCAATCATGAGTGGTTTCGTTGTCCCCATGACCAAGGTTATCATCGCCAGGCCGTCATCACCACACCCTCATCTCTCTCAGCACCACCTTCGTCTTCACCAGCACTGTCACCAGTATTTTCAGATAAACGCGAAAACTAGATGTGAGGTTCTGTCTTCTGTAAGGATTAAAGAAGAATGATCGACAAGGCCTCCCCACGTGCTTCAACCCCTAACACTGCGAGGTCACAGACGTTCACAGAGTATCCTCCAAATTCCAAAGCTCCCTTCGGAGAATCGAGTTCGGGATTGAAAGGCCGAAAGCCCAAGGCAACAGTGTCTGGGAGATGATCCATGCTGTGGCTGCGCACTGGTGGGGACATGCTGGGTGTACGGCGCCATGAATTTGTTGGCCATCCTGTCCAAGAACTTCTTGTGTTCTTGGGGCTTGTAGGAAATGGTCGCCCATGGATGCCACAGGACAGGGTCATCATATACTTTCGAAAACTCCCAATGCAAACCTCTCGCAGTTGGATCAAGCCCATAATCCTGTTTCGACCGTCAGATGAGGCCTCGCACGCTCTGACAGCAGCCTCTCTGGCACATGCCATGCCTGCACGTGCTGCTCAGTTTTGCAAAAGCTGCAAGTGACAACGTACTGCTTCAGGTATCAACAGCTTCGCTCAAGCACATCAATGCCATGGCCCTTGTTGCCAGGATAAGTAAACACCTGAACTCTAAGACCCCGCAAAGCTCAACAATAACAACCCAAAACCACGATTCCGTAAACCACGAACCCCCAAATCCCTTTTTGGGCGGATCAAACCTTGCCCTGCAAAGCTTGAAATAGCCCAGGGTTTCAATAGGTTTCTGTAAGGGTTTAGCCGTTTAGCCCTTTCGGGTTCCTGTAAGGATCCCTTGAAGGTGAGGCTTTCGGTCTTGGGGCCGTGGCTTTGGGGTTGCGGCCCCAGTGTTTGTCAGGCTTACATGGTTCATCACTGGGCTTGTAGCACTTCTGGGGATAACAGGAAGTAAAGGGTTGGGTGGGCCTACGGGCTTATAAAGTTAACTAATTCATAAAATACCTCCTTTCATAGTGGCGACGCTTTGTCTTCCGTGACGGGCCTCATGTCATGTTCATGACCCTTGTAGTGAATACTGCGGCACTGTGCGTCTATGTTCAGGCCACGGGTTTCCAGAAGTCCAATTGGGAGTTTCCGAAAATAAGGGACCCTAATATAGTACCCCAAATAGTAGGATCCTTATTATATGGAACCCCAAATTGAGGTAACCCTAACTTTCGGAAACTCCCAATTTAGGGAGATCCTCAGTCTTCGGTGGGCGCCTTGCAAGGAACAGCAGCTCTACTTCCGCAATCGGGCAGGCGGAAAATCAAGCACCCGCCTTCTTCGAAGCCAACACAAGCATAGGACCTCGGAATTTTGGCACCTCTTGTTTGTGGACCAACCGCATCTCCGAAGTCATGGTGCTCAGATGCTTGTCTTCCCGGGAAGCGCTGCACAAATAAAGGAGCATGCGGCCAAAAACTACCGACAAAACTCGGATGCCAAGCACCAAAGCATCTGATGGAATCATTCTGCCAGGTGTTTCCGTCACAGTCCGCGCATGGCAACTCTACAGCCACGGAGATTCGCAGAGAACCTTCCAACTGCACTGGTGACGTCTATCGTAACATCAAAGATCTGTCAGAACCCCGCATGAGGCAAGTCCGAGCGATGGTTACCAGAGTCTATTTCAACCTGCGCTGAGGCTCATGCTGAGCAGGACGCACCCATGCCTTCCAAACAGAATTGGGGCTCTGATTTTAGGGCCATATCAGGGTGTCTGATGTCGGGTTCGGTTTGCAGAGTTTCTTGCACACAGCTTTGCGAGTCAAGGGTTGCACACTCGGAGTAAAGGAGTCAATTGACGTGCTGGAAAACTTCACGTGGTGATGAATGAAATCACCCGGGTTTCGGTGCGAAAACCCCGGGCAGCTGGAAAGGAACCAGAACTGAGCCGTAAGTCCCGACTTGGTGTTTGTCGCTGGACACTCTGCCAGGATTGAATCCGATAGCCCACAAAACAGAGAATGTGCAGTGTCACAAGCGGGCAAAGAAGCAGCAGGTGGCAGTAGCAACAGCCGCAGTTCCAAGTAGTGCAGCGAAAGGGCAGGCTTCAGCGGCAGGATCTCCAGCGTCAGTAGCAGCCCGAGACAGTAGTGGTCGCGCTCGTCGTCGAAAAAGTTTGACGCTACAGTCGTCTTCAGGCGCCGCTGCAAAACAGCACCGGAACCACAGGGAATAAATATAAGCTCGTTCAGTTGCTGACCTGCTTCTTTACGGCGACTTCGTCCGTGCCCGCCGACGCAAGGAACACTGCAAGTCCGACTGGAACCCGAACAAAAAGACAGGAGGTCCTTGTCCCCTTAAAACCCACTCCCTTTGGTTTCCAGGCCCAAACCCGGACACCTCGCCCTGCTGCTTCCGGGCATTCTCCCCGGAAACCCACCAACCACGTGGGCCAACGCCTGCGGATCATGCAAAAGAGGGTTGGTAGCGGTCGTATCAGGGAAGCAAAACATGTGAGAAACAAGATGGCAAACAGTGGAAGCCGCAGACAAAACAGAGCTGCGTGTCTCGCACGTAGTTAATGTCAACTGTAACCGAGACGTCAAGGCGAGCCATGCAGGAGCCCGAAAAAATTGCAAAGGGTTTGGGAGTGTAGCATACATTATGACTCTTTGCCAGGGTTTCCAAAGCAGACCAGAAGATACTATGCCGGCAAACAGCAAAGCACATTTGGCAAGCCCCAAGGACGCCTTCGGATGCCGCTGCCTCGGCTTCAAGATTAGCGAATGTTCATGGTCTGCCAAGGCACGGTTCTGAGCTTGGAGAAAAGCCTGTCTTCGAAGAGTCACAGGAGTGTACGGCTTACGGCCAGGGCTTAGCACTAGCCGCGTCAGCATACGGAGCAAATGACCAAGCTATATTGCAGTTGACGCGAGTTCGCAAAAGCCCGCATCAACGCGACCTTTCGCATCTAAAGCACACCGATATCAAAGGGCCGCAACCGAAAGATCCCTGAAACTTCAAACTGGGCCTATCATCTTTAATCGTGGAAGCCGGAGTGCAAACTCGACGTCCGAATCAGCTTGTCTGTGAACACGGACTGCGCGTATGCATGCACAATGTATCCCGAAAAGCAACAGCAAGTCGTGTGTTGAGCAATGCAGAGCACTGAACCTGGGCAAGCACCTCCTGCTTCTCAGCAGCAGTTTCCTGCCGGCTGCTTTCCAGCTATTTGGTTTCTGTCTCCGGTCTTGGGTCTACATGGTTTCAGGGTATACTTACCCGACATGAGTCCGAAAACAGCAAATCTGGCTTTTTGGTTTGCTGGGTGCCTGGTCTTGCGGACGATCTTTGGGCTCGGAAAGTGTGGTGTCTCCCTCGGAACTCCACGGATCCGAAGCTTCGTAAGTCCGCAGTCCCAACAGAAGGGTTTTGGGGATTTGTGAGTTTTTTAAAGTTTTTCGGTTTAGCGTTTACGACTTCGGGTTTCTCCCTCTATCTCTCTCTGCCGTGCCAGCCTCAAGGGCCGCGCTATGCAAGTGACAAGGGCACGTAATGGCAGGCTAAGGGCTTTGGATTTTTGGGCCTGTTCTACATAACGTTTAAGTGTCTGTGTCTCTAAGCTGCTACCAGTACCGTGAAAGCACGGCAGTTGCTGTCGCTGTTATTCCGTGCTCGCTCAAACACTCTGACACACATCATCTTCCTGCCTGTCGTGCTGACAAGACCCATAAACTCTGAAACTCTGTGTCACGTGGTCCTCCTGGAAAGCGCCGGCGGCAGAGTGCGGAGCATCCAAAAAAATGAACCTCAGAGGCAGCAGGGTGTTCATGGCATGCTTAGCGTGCCGTGTGTTGGGGTCTATGAGAGCCTACAATCTTTATGCTTCAGAGTTGAGGTTTGGAGAGTAGGTTTGGAGCTTCGGCTTGTTTTCCAGTCCCTTGCTAGAGCTTTTGATCTCGTCATGAATAATTACCAGATAGAAACCAGTTACAAGTAGTTCGCGATGGAGTAGCGACATGAGTAAAGCAGGCAGGCTGGCGAGTTGGCACCCAATCAGAACTAAACCGAAACACTGCGCCCTCCTAACGGCATTCTGTTTTCCAGTTGCTCCGGGCGTAAAGGTTGCAAAAGACAAGTAAATGGTACCCAAGACGGTGTCTTTGCGGTACCGAAGTCTTTCAAGGCAACGCGCACTCAACTGCTACCCCGGGCCACCAGGCTCGCAGCCCTTCATGGCGCGGCGCAGTGAGCCAGTCTTCTGCTTGAGAATGTCGCCTGAAGCGAAACGGTTCAGGAGACGTATATAAAGTCTTAGTGCTGGCACGCAAAGCCAGAACTCCCGGCTCGAAGCCGTTTTGCAAAGTCCATCAGAAGCTATACTGTGAACCTCTGAAAACAAGTCCTATGGAAGAGGAGTGGTTGGTAATCAGCTGCGTCAGCTCTCGGGTTCACACTAACCTCCAAACTTAACCCGCAAACACCATCAAACGGCAAGCTTCACGGCTCAGCCCACGACCATTCTGCACAAAGCCATGGAAACAAAGGATTCCTGGTGCCGCTGGAGTAGGAACAGCGTGGCGATTGGGCAAGGTGCCCGTCTCTCTGAGGAATCTGTTTCCGGTTCAAAGCATTCTGGACAAGAATGGCCGTACTGTGGGCATTGCAAATGCTGAACAACAAGATGATGGTATGATCTCCTCTTCACCTGAGAAACCAGCCACACCCATGCCTTCGATGTGCTGAACTACGGCCGTGGGTTCTTTCCCATTCACAGTTGACCAGGTCGCACTGCAGGGCACTCGTTCGAAGCCTGGGTCAGGGTTGGCTGTTGAGGCTTTTCGATCGAGTACCCGCGCATGGGTCGACCTCACAGCTGCCACTGCGCCGGATGGAGCTGGTTCGAGTGTGCCGTGCCGGTGAAGCTTTCTCCGTCTTATCCATCACAATTTCTGTTCGGCATGCGCCCTCAATCCAGCGCCAAAAACCATTGGGGTTTGAGATTAAGTCTACCCTACAAGCATTGCGAAAGTCTTTAGTCTTGAGCATTTCGTGGTAAGGTACAGACCCTGGACCTGCCGTCAAGACTGAGGCGAAGTGTCTATGTAAGGTTAAACACCTGCAGCCAACCTAGTAGACTGCCGACAAAGAGCCTGAGGCACCCACTGAACGTTTTCGCAGAGCTGTCACCAATCGGCACCTTCGTGCATTATAGAGCATCCCAGTCTCTTACCATTGTGCCGGACATGATGTCTTGTGCTGCGCTCGAACACTCACATAATAACAAGACTCCGAGGAACTCGGAAACCATCCTATTTCCAGGACCTGCATGAGAGGGTAAAGATCATTTTGCTGGGGATTTTAATAAGGCCTGAGGCATGCGATAGGGAGAAAAGGCCAACCTCACAATCGCAAGAAACCGCCGACAGCCTTTGCAGGCTTGTTGTCAGCAGCGCGTGCAGACCTGACCGGTCATGCCAAGTGATGTCTAGACATGCCCAGGACCTGGGAATCAGGTTTTTCGAATCATGGGCTGAAGTCTGGTTGCAATGTACGTGCTCCGGAAGGTTAAACCGCGAGGTGAGATTCCAGCGAAAGGCGTGAGACGCGCTACCCGACTTTGCGAGTTAGACTTTTAAGTCTGGTGGGAAGCAAACAGGCAACCGACGAGGTGTGATTCGGGGATGTTCGGGGGATGCGATACGAATTTTTGTTAAGGGTTCAAGGAGGTGTCGGACGTGGGACCCGAGAGGAAGCTGGGTCGGGCATGATCAAACCGTAAGATGACAACGATGGCAGGTTTCCCGGGAATAAGGAGTCAACTTCAAAGTAGTATTCAGGGATCGAAACACTTAACGAAGGTTCCTGCGGTTTATGTCAAGACCTGCTGCGGCAGCAGGGCAGCTACGGAGCAGTTTGGAAAGAAATAAGCTGCCGGAGTTTGATGTTCACCTTGAGCGCACCATTTGAACCCTAAACCCAAAAGGTTTAAGGTTACCTGCTGAGCCCCTGCCGAGCCCCGAAGCCCAGCTGGCCCTACGTGTGTACATCCGCATCCGAGAGCTGTGTGAATCCTGACAGTTGCAAACGGATATGGCTGACTACGAGTGAATGTTCCGAACCTTCCGAAGCAAGAGGCCTTCATGGTTGAGCTGATCACCCGGTTCAAAAAGAATAAACTGACTGGAGACGTGTGGAAGGATGGGGTGGAGAAGGTGTGCAGATACCCCCTCAGCAGTCGAAAAAGTTGCTGCCGTGCTCGACGGTGCTGATGTTCACCTTCATATTGTTGCGCGATATTATATGGTTACGCACTTATCAAGCTACAACTCAAGCTTTTGTACGTTGATTTCCTGTCTTTGCCTTTATTTTTTGTGTTTTTGCGGGTGCTGGGTGGTGCTTAAGCTGTCAGCAAGCAACAGGAACGCAACTTCGCCTCCTCGCTCGCAGTCGAAGGGCCGAGCTCAGCTCCTGACCAACATGAAAAGCCACGAGGCACGTAGGTGCAGTTGGTGATCCCGAACCCTACTCAAAAACTACGTGTGCGTGCTCGTGCCTGCGTGAGGGCGCGCGGGCGCCCCGATGCTGAGATGATACAGTGATGCTGCTCAATCACCGACAGGTGCAACGAGAATGAAGTATGAGTCGGCCCATGAAAGCCCTACGTCCCATGCTGCCTAAGCCCGGGTCTCAAACATCGTTAGAGCTTAAGGCTGACAGCTTGCTGCTGGGACTAGGCCATACAGGACAATCTCGAGCGCTGGGTGGTGAATCCAATTCAAGTTGGGGCGAGCTTATGGGACAAGGCGTCTACTTCGGGACATACGAGATTTGTGGACATCTGTGAGAGGGGAAGACAAGGTTCTGCAAAGTACATGTCAGAAGAAATGTTTCGGATGTAAGGTTTATGCATGTTTATGCGCTCGGCATCGAGGGCCTATCGGACTTACATTCTTGGGGCTGGTCAGGAATCGAAAGCATGGGGTGGCAGCCATTATGTATCCCGCGATCTGCCCCAGTTGGATCGTGAGCAAATGCTTTTGACACCCTCAAATGCCCACAACCCCTCCATACTCGAGCGAGGCCTCTGGTCCATATATATATATATATATATATATGTAAACACATCCCACGGACGTTCTGCGTGAACATGAGCAGTCTTCCACAGATCCATGGTAAGTACTATATTGAACATCAGCTATGAAATTCGTCCGGCGATCCTCGAACCGCTGCATGGCCTCGGCTGCGAGAACATGCGAACTTCGGATCACAACACCCTGTTGGGGTTCAGGGCTTAGGGGGAGTTTTGGCTTCATTGTCAGCGGTTGCGAAGATCTTGGCCGAGACTGCCGAAAATCTACCCACTCTTGTCACTGGTACAGACAGGCAGGCAACAAAAACCTTGCCTGTGGCACCTGAAACCTCATCCTAAAACCTGGAATCTGGATCCACGGCAACGGTGTCTCGACATTCACAACTCGGAGAACCCACTGCAGGCACACAGACGTGCGACAGGCTCTTGGAGATACATCAAGGTGGGAATCCGAGAAGTCGGCACTGTAAACAGCACTGAACAAGTGGTTCAGCTCTTGGTGACTGAGAGATGCCGATAGTTGAACCCTAAGCCCAAGACTGGGAACTCCCTGGTCGAATAGGCTGTGCAGGCGAACAGACAGATTCGCATCGGACATGGCAGGGTTGGATTCCTCTGCACCCGTAAGTTTCGAAGTCTCTTGTGGGGAAGCTGAGGCCCGGGCTGGAGCAGTAGATCAGAGTGGCCATCACGGTTTGCACGGACTCGCTGATTTTAAGACTTGAAAACAGGGGCCACCCTGTGTAGTGCTTACGGACTCAGTCCCAAGTGTGCCCCTCAAACTCGGCTGAAGCTGTTGCCTCAAGCACAGTCTCTCATCCAACTATAGCGCCATGCTCGACATCTGAGATTCTAAGGAGTGGACTTGCAGACTGCTGCACTAATATGTTGTTTCTACTCTCGCAGCTCCGAAAGCCCAGGCAAAGCTCCGCAGTTGAGACTTGCAATTCTAGAAAGGCTCAGAAGATCCCAGCGAGGTCTGGAGGCTTGCGGCCGTACAGAAATTACACGGCAGAACTGCCAAACATGTTCGTGGGAGCTCCCGGCCCATGGTCGATGAGTAGAGCTCCAGACACCCTTTTACTGCACACGCAGAGGAACTTTTCAGAACTACTCGGCACCCGCTCCGTGGCGCGTGGTGGGCTCCGACATGTTGTTACCTGCCTGAGAGCATTGATATCTTCTCTAGAAATTACCGCTGGCTCCGCGTGCGGGAGCCGGCGCTATGTCCCTTTTTTCTAGAGCCCCCCGGCTTTCAGAAAGCAGGTGCAATGCATCTGGGCTCTGATAGCACGGTCGTCCCACTAGTCACTAGTCGCGGCCGCGGATCACCTTGGTGGGGAGATTTGAACTCTACAGAACTTCTACAGGCCGTGCTCTGAGTCAACATGCAGACTAGCACCAAGGCATTAAGGTACCTGCCTGGTCGCAGCGACTGCGAAGTAAACGACAAATCAGCTAACACTAGCGATAAATGCGAAGATTGCGCGCCATGCAACTGAGGGTATGCGTCTAGAATGAAGCAGATGAGGCATAATGATGATGATGATGATGACGACGACGGTGATGGTGATGATGCTGATCTACGTGACAGATCAAACAAGCAACGCCTAATAAGCTCACAAGCCACAGCCGTATAAATGGCATACATGTATAATATATATATATATATATATATATGACAAAGTGATTGTACCGGTACATACATACATACATACATACATACATACCTGCCTACGTGCGTGCGTGCGTACATACACACACACATACATACACACATGCGTACATACCTACACATTCAATATGCGTATACTCAGTACCTATGTATCACCCCTGACTTGCATGCACACATCTGTATAGCCCCTCTCCAAAGACAGGAAACTGATGGCTTCTGACAAATCGCAAGAACTTGAGGAGTAAGCTTCTCAGGGTTTGCGGTTTATCGGCTATGCCGAAATCAGCACGGGCCCACCCACAAAGGTTGCTTCGATAACCTCGTGGCCGGAGCTTTGCCATCATGAGCCTGACTCACATTTTTACTTTTCCCAACCAACACGCGCGGCGATGGAAGTATTGACTCTCTTAACGTTTATTTGTCCACCTCACTTGCCCGACCCTACACCATCAAAGCATCATGCCCTGAACCCCGAGCCCGTATGTGTATGTGTATATATATATATATGTATAGATACCCCTCTAAACCAATCCTTCCACGCTCAACACCAAGAATCATGGATCGGCCCAGCGGCAGATTCTCCATCCCGCCGCCTCTTCATAGGGGGACAAAGCTCTGGTGGCGGCCTCTTCGTGCCGATCTCGCGCTCGCCGTGCGCGTTGTTGCCTCAGCTCCATGCTACGTTGCCGCTCGCTCCCTGTCCCTATATGGGGGTTTCCGAATATAGGGGACCCTAATATAGTACTCTATGTTATCATGTAGTAGGATCCTTATTATGCTCCCTCTCCCTATATTAGGTTCTATAAGGATTCTAGAAGGGTACCACAAGGGTACTATAAGGGTTCAGTTATACAAGGCTACGATATGGGCTCCAGAAGGTTCTACATATACGGGCTCTATAACCGGTACGGTTGGTCGCCCCGTCGCAGTATGAAAGTATGTCGATACCTCTGATGCTGCCGATGACGGCACTGGTGGACTCCGATTACCGCAATGTTTGGGATGTCTGCTTTGTGCACGGTTACCGGAGTATTTCCTTTGCTAACTGCTGTTTTCTGCTTCATTGGTAACCACCCTCCCTGAACTTGTTATTCTTTGGATTTCGTGTTCAATTGCTTGTCTTCGTCTTGGCAAAGACTAACGAGCGGCTTGATATCCACATATGTAACAAGCGTACAGCACGGGAGAGTAGAAGTCTCTAGCCCATCTGCTCACCAAGGCACAATTCTTTCCATAGATGCATCCTTTGGCAGTCTTTGTGACGGGGTCCCAAAACACGCATAATCGTGTCTTCACCTTTCCGCACACGGACAAGCCAATGGTGCCCAACTCGCTCTCGGTGTGGGCAAAGGGGCAAATCTTGCCCAGGGAGCATTCTCCTCGAGAAAAGCGCCCACACATTTCTTTCTTCTTCTTCAACCTCATGTCAGGTACCTGGCTCTCTGGGATATCTCCCTGCTCGGCCATGGCATCATTTTCTTCGCTGGCCATGTTGGCTGGAACGTCCGGCGATGCTGGATGCAACTCTTCGTAGGTATGCGCGAATGTGCAGTCTTGACCCTGACGGCAAAAGCCTACTGTCATCAAAGGCTTGCATAACCGCATCGGTCGGAATCCTTCCTTGAATCGCAGGGGCTGCGCCGCCTGAGTTTTGGCTCGCTTTTCCTGCTCCTGCTTCTGTAACTGTTGGTAAAACTGGTACTGCTGCATATATTGCATGTCTTGTGCTGATTGGGCGGCTGCTGCAACAGCTGCGGCGCCCTCAGCCTCCTTGTTCTCACCTGGCTGATTGCCTCCGCCTTCCCCTCCTGCAGCAGCCCCTAGGGCTTGCACTACGGCATTCAGCACAGCTGGTTCCAAACCCAAGGCGACAGCAACTGCTGCAACGGTGGGGTCCGTGCCCGGAGGCGCACCTGGAGCCGGCGGTGGTGGAGCGGCTGCTGGAGCTAACACCGGTGCCACCACAGGAACCGCGGGTGGGGCAGCCGTGGGTGCAGCAGCTGGTGCGACTGCAGGCGCCATAGCTGGCATGGTAGCGCCAGCTGGTACGGTGGCACCAGCTGTGGGCATCTGCCCTGCTGCTGCCAACAAAGCTGCTGGTATGGCAATTTGCTGCTGCAGGCCAAAGGGTGCTGGAGGTGGGGGCACCGCCGGAGCTGCTGCGCCTGGTGCTGCTGGTGCAGTGCCTTCTGCTGGAGGTGGGTGGAATTGGAAGCCTGGCGGCAGTGTCAATGTGCCTGGTGCCAGGTGTGGCCGTGGAGGCGGCTGTAGCACCATGTTCGGGGGAAGGCCTTGAAGAGGTATCCCCAAGTGGGGCAATTGACCTAACAACTGCAACTGGCCCAATCCAGCCACTGGAGCAGTAGGTAGCATCTGAGGCATCTGCCCTGCTATCTGTACTGGCATGTGCGCTGGTAGACCCGGTATCTGCCCTGGTATGCAGGGTATCTGCCCAGGTGCTGGCTGTCCCGGCAGGCTTGGTGGGCCCGGCGGCCGGGGCGGACCCGGCGGCCCGGGTGGACCCGGCGGCAGCATGGCCCCGCACTAACACCCGAAAGCACGAGTAAGTGCATCTGATCTTGCCAGCTGCGGATACACACAAGCAAACTGCAAAGGAAGTCGTGGCTGAACACAAACAGCAGGCACACCGGCACATGCATGGCATGTGGAAACAAACTGTCGAACATTCAACCCCTGCATCCTCGTACACATTGACACATCTCGCACCCTTTTTCCACCCGCCGCCGTTGAGCGCCGGACAGTTTGTCTGGAAGGCTGTCTAGAAGGTACAGATGGTGTGACCTGTTCCTTTTCGCCGGTCGCACCCGAAAGCTTTGAACAAAAGCCGAAGTATGAATTATCTGCAGAGGGATCCGCACTTACCAAGTTTGTGGTTGAATGCGGCTGCTTGCTTTTGGTCCTGGTATGACTCTCATCTAACATACCCATGAACTCATCGAAATCCACAACGCCATCTCCAGAAGTGTCGTAGTTGTCGAGAAAGACTTCGATTGCCTTGGACTCCTTCTCCTGCTTCGTCTTGTCGCTGGTGCGACCAGAACTTAGCAGTTTGCATAGCTCTGCCTTTGTTACAGTGCCACTCCCGTCGGCATCGAAGATCTTGAAAGCTTCCCAAACGACATCTTCCTTCAACACTTTCTTCTTGTCCAGAGCTGCTGCCAGGAACTCAGTGTATTCGATGGTGTCGTTACCTCAGCTTTCCATGGGCTGCCATGCGTTTTCACTGGCTTTAATCACTCAAGTTCGGAGCCAAACCCCAAACACATCCATCTACCCGGTACACGGAATGTTCAAAATCAGTCTGCAAACCATGATCGAAATGACTCACGCAAAGTGCTGCGCGTGTAGTCCTCCTCTACTGTGAAAAAGCAGGACTACTCAGGATGAACATCTTCAACCGTCTAATTACCGACAAGCTGCCGTCTGTGCCGACTCCACACAGGCTCAACCCCCCCGGCAAGGTCACGCCGACCTCTTCGGGACTCTCTATCGATGGGTGGGCTGAGGGCTACAAGCTGACGTTTTGCAATTAGCTCTCCCTCCCCCATCAATGTCGTGCACACACACACATACATACATACATACATATATATATATATATGTATATCTAAATGTGTGTATATATATATATATATAAGTACATGTGTGTATGTATATACATACATCTACATTTCATGCTTACGCATATACATGTACACACACACACACACGCAGACATACGTACACGCACAAGCAACTCCTCCATCCATCTATCCATCCACCCATCCATCCACGCATGTGTATATATATATATATATATATATATATATATATAAACACAACTACATACATGCGTGCATAACTTACATTACATTACTGAACATGACATACAACCACACGCACATGCATAAATACATGCACACATACATTACGCTACATGAAACTACATTTCATTACATCGCACTACATCACACCACGTCGCTCTACACACATTACGCACATTACATAACATTACAAAACACTACCTACTTTGATAACAACATTGCACGCCTTACATGCATTACATACGTTACATACATAGCATGCACGCATGCATACACACATACAGCTAGGCAGACACACAGACCAGACCGACCGACAGGACCAGACAGATAGATAGATCGTTGGACAGAGTGAGAGAAAAATATAGATATAGATGTAGATATAGGCAGAGGTATAAGTACAGCTACAGATATAGATGCAGATGCAGATACAAGCATATACATACACATAGACATAGGGAGAGAGAGAGAGAGAGAGACAGAGACAGAGAAAGAGATAGATGTAGATGTAGATATGTATTATATATATGTGTGTGTATATGTTTATTGGTAGACACTCACACACACACACACACAATCTGACGAGGTCTCTCTGTCTGAAGTGGTTCTTTAGTTGTCCGCCCCAGCAGGCACGAAATCCTAAACCGCAAAACCTGGCCTGATGGGCCTAACCCTGTTTTAACTGACCCCGGCATATAATGAGAGCTTCAGAACAATGGGAGACCCGAATAGACAACCCGAAAGAGTTGGACCTCTTTTTCAGATCCCAAAACATTAATCATGAGCCGTGACAAAACTAGAACTGGAAAGAGGAGCATGTTTGCTATGCGCGGACTTCTTGGAGACTGGCTGCCCGAATCCTTGCAGCTTTCCGGGCCTCTGCAAACGCTCCGCGGAGCTCTCCCATGGTCATGTGCCCATTTCCTTAGCTGCTTTGAGGGGTTTCGGGCTTTTAAGGCTGGCTTTGGGCTTACGGCTTCAGGGCTTGTGCCTTCAGGGTTTAGCCCGCAGTGCCTGCGTATCACGGGTCTAGGCTGGCCTGAACAAGACGAGGATTTGGGCGTGTTTGTTATCAGCTAGGTAGCTAAAGATAAGGGATATCAAGGTGTCGATATTAAGAAAAAACACTCAAAAGCCCACCGTGTGCCCTAAAATGCTAAACTGCGGCCGCAACTTCCCAACCTGTCTGAAGCACTTGAAAGCCCCTAAAACCCGGTGAATCCTAGAACCCTACGTCTGAACCACTTCGGTTCTCATGTCTGAGCCCGGGGCCATCTCGATCCAAGCATTCGAAGACTTGCCTCAAATGCTGTGTGTCCTCCGACTCATGGATTTGGTGGCTTTGGGATTTCCGAGTTTAGGGTGGGGCTCGGGGGAGGATGGATTCAGGGATTTGGTGGCTTAGGGATTTCCGAGTTTTCGGCGGATGGTAAGGAGGGCTCAGTTTACCTCGAGGAATACGCCATGCGCTGAATAATCGGCCCCCATCCTGTAGGCCTAAGGTAGATATCGTTAAAATGGCAACTGCTCCGCTTACATCTTTCACAGCGTGACGATTCATAGCCCCACTGTCAGCGATCACGTCAGTGGCAACGACACGAGTAGCGGCATTAGCACTGCCATTAACCGGCAGTGCAACTCAGGATGACAATCACTGTCGACAGATGGTCTTGCGGATGTACTTTCTTCGCTGGGTTGTTCGCAATTCCTCGTAATATTAACAAACTAACAACTTGATAGTCGAACTATCGCGACAACAATAAGTTTCATATGGTAGCAATTAACTGGTTAGCTGTTTTGGTGACGGCTAGACTTAACACAACGATTCAGTACAAACTCACATTGTTACGAATACGAATATGCCTGCCCAGCATTCTGTTTTCCTTATCAACAAGTCGTGCTTGTGCTATGGTCATATTGCAACATGCTTCATGCCCCTTTGCCACACTTGGGAAGTCCGAACCAAGACCCAAGATCTGGGTGGTTGTCAAAATTATAGTCCCGTACCCTAAATAATCGGTGCCGTACTGTAATAGGGACCCAAAAAGGCACCATAATTTTGACAACTACCCATAAGGGCCTTAATAATTCGAATAGGGCGTTAGAGTGTATTATGCTATAAAAACAATAAGGAACACCAAAATAGTAACTTGGCCGACGTCTGAACCCCTCCTATAGAAACCCCAAAAGTTAAAGTCTAAAGGGCCAACCAGAAGAACGACAAGGTAACAGGTAACTCGAATTCTTTTGGCACCTCCAAGAAATTCCCAGTTCTAGGGCTGAACCTTTCGACTCTCAGAGCTTGGGCAATGGGGCGAGGCGTCTGAGTGCTAAGTAGGCGTAACCGAGGCTTTGGGCTTTGGGATAAATATATATGTATATTATAAAATATATTAATATATATTAATATATATATATATATATGTATATATATATATATATATATATATATTATATTAATATATAATATTAATATATATATGGATATATATTAATAAACACTATGATATATTAATATGTATTAATATATATATATATATATATATATATACTCATATATATGAGTATACCTATACAATATATACATATTAGTATATATATATATACTATATATATTAATATATATATATATACACTAATATATATATATATATATATATATATACTAATATATATATATATATTATTATTATTAATATATATATATATATATATATAATAATATATAATTTTTAACATATATATATATATATATACATATACATATATTAATATATATATATATACACATACTATATAGTTTGGATGGAACATAACCACTGCTCCGCAGAGCGAGCGCCAAACAATCGTCGAGTTTGAGGTGCCAGCACATGCCGGTCGAAAGCAGGTGCATGAACTCGGTGCTGTGAATGATCAAAGGGGAAAAGGAGGGACCCTTAATGGGGACCCCTACCATATAGTGGGTATACAATAGCTATATTAAGGGTATATACCTAGGGGTCCTCATTAAGGGTCCCTCCTTTTCCTCTTTGAAATGAACAAGTCAACTGGCAACTGCCTATGGCATCCCTCGGCCTTAAGCCAGCGTTTACAGACATCGGTCCTCGTCCGAAGCTCGCCATGCAAGGGCGGTTAATGCCGCCTTCTGCATAAGGTTCAAGGACTGGAACCTGGGGCTTCTGGCTCTAAGCACGATTTCCAGGATATAAGGGGGCGTTTATATGCATCCCTATCCTAATTTTTGCTTCTGTGCTTTTTTGGGGCCCTAATTTCGGGTTTTAGCGATACAGGGTTTAGGCTGGCATGGGCTTCGCTTGACAGGACACTCCTCGGCTGGCAAAAGGCCCACAGCTAACAGCCAGAATCCTAAAGCCGAAAACGGGCCTCCCAGGCGGGCCGTGCTGGCCAAAGTCTTGGAGAGAAAATGGAACAGCTGGTACAGTATAAAGTGGGTAACAGTAGGGAAGAAGCTTGCTACGAACCTCAAATGCCAAAGAGTGAACTGAGAAAACCCGTTGACTGACATCAAACCTACACGTCAGTGGCTTTCATTTGCTGGCCCTGGTTTCGTGCAGGTTCAGGTGTAGGCCCGGGCCCCTGCTCATGCTGTAGACCCTAATAGTTTCCCTGTTTGGAAGGCTGCTTGATGCCATGCTTGCCGGGCAGCTGGATCATGGTCTCGACGATTCCTTGCATAATTTCTGCACTTGGCAGCTGCACCTGGGGTGAAGAATAAAGGGTTCGGCGTTGCAGGTCTACAGGGGTTCGGGGATTGAAAGCTTAGACTTCGTGGAGTCGTTTCGGCTTGTTGAAGCATCGAACTTCCAATGACGAGTCTGGCGAGAGCACAATGCCTTTCCGGCTGTTGCACTCCATCTGCAAAGCCTGCTGGCCAAGCCTAAAGCCCACACATCCAAAACCAGCAGCCGGAAGAATGAATACCGAAACCATGAAGATCCTCGCACTCCAATGTAAAGACCTTGACAGTTGCAGTATGATTTAAGAGGGTTACCTGAGATTCTACTTACAGTATCTAGAACAAGAGCAAACCGAACTTTAGATCGGACTTCTGCAGTCTCTCTCTCTCTCTCTCTCTCTCTCTCTCTCTCTCTCTCTCTCTCTCTGACTCTCTCACTTCAATGAAATGCATATGTACACGTGCGCTGGGCTCAGACTTTATGTGCGTGAGTACACATACATGCATACATGTGTGTATATATATATATACACAAATGTACGTAATACATTTCCAGAGAACCAGGTCCACAGACTCTTTACAGTCTGCAAGCTAGGCATCAGCCTCGCACGACCGCCCACCCCACGATATCCGTTCAGCAGTGGATGAACACATCTAGACCCCGAGGATCAAATCTAGTGCTTCAAGAATATACAGGCTCGCGAACCCACTTGCGAATCTAAGCTGCTATCTGCCTCGCCTGGCCCTACAAGTCTTATCAACCTGCTCTATCCTGATGTCTACGCAAGCCATGCAAGCCTTACAAAGACTGCCCCATACCTCTAACATTCGGAGTTCCGCAAAGCTCTGAAGCCCCGTCAAGTGCTGAAACCTTGTAACCCTACCCCTTTAACCCTAAACTCTGAATCCCCAAAACTCTCTAAACCCCCGCCCTGTGATAGCCTTACGACAACCTGAGAAGTGAACTCACAAACACGGGCCAACCTCTAAACCCCTGAACCCTGCGAGGCTTAAGACCTGTGTACCTCCGACCCCAAACCCGGCCTAAACCCCCCGCCCTAAATCCAGAACCCTCTCTCTCCCAAAACCCCCAAAACACGACGCCCCAAACCATCCAAAACCGCAACAAAAAAAAACCTCGGACTTCAGCACCGGCCTGAACCTTCAGCCATTCGTGGCGCAGGGCATCGGCCACAGAGCATCGGTTTTCGGGCCTGGGAGGTGACTCGATCTTTTCTGGGAGTTCGGGGCGAAGGTTTAGGTTGTAAGGCCAAGGGGTTTTGGGCTAGGAGTTTAGGAGTCTGAGGCTTCATGTCTGTTGCTTTGGGATTTAGGATTGTGGGGTTTGGGGCAGTTGAGGGTTTCGGGTTCGAAATTGCAGGCTAAGGGCCCATTGCTCCGAGGACCTTACATAAAGCTTAAGGATTGTAGGCTTGTATGAGGTTGAAGGCTGCTGGGCCATTTTCAAGGCACCGGTTTGCCAACCTCAGACTGCAATTACTCACAGCCCTGGATCTTGCAAACTCCCGGTTTTTAGGGTTGCCAAACAACCTAATACCAGCCCCCACCGTCTCAATGCTCAAGTTCTGAATGCAAAGAGAAACAGCCATGGCAACATGATAAGGGATCCGGTGCTAATATGGTTCATGCAGCTTGGTACTCAGGGGTTAAGCAAGGCTCATCTGCAATCACACGGCATTTTTTCTAGGCCAAGCATGTCTGACATTGCAGCTCGTGGGCAGAAACAGATTGTTGACAGCGTCGCATGCCATGGCTCGCAATATCTCGTAAGGTGTCGCCGCTTCAAGATCCCAAACACCGTGCGCATCTACACAAGACGTAGACAACTTAGACACCTGAGACGTATGGGTAATTGCCTAGGTGCTTTTTGCGCAGCAGCTCCACCAAGATGGATTTGCCTCAGCAGCAAAGGTCTGGGATACTGGGTTAGTGGTTGCGGGCTTGGGGTTGCGGCTTAGGCTTGCTCAAGTCTAGGAGTCTAGGCTTTGGCGCGGTCTGTGCATGCCCTCCCTAAACAACAGCACCACCACCGCCACCAACAACAACAAGAACAACAAAAGCAATAAGAAGAACAACCCCAACGCCAACTCCAACCCCAAACCACAACCCCAATCACAACAGCACCAAGAGCAAGAGCAAGAGCGAGAGAGAGTAAGAGGGCATGCATGAGCAATGGCAACATCGGCAGCAGCGGGAGCAGCAGCACCACCAACGGCTACTGCCACGGCCACGACGACGACCACAACGACCACAAGAATCACTACTGCGATTACGTCGACGACGACGGCTACTACTGCCACTACTGCTACTGCAGCTATTACTTCCGCGACTCCTACCACGACCACACCGACGAGTTGTCAACTACACTACTACCGTTATCCCTGCCAGCATCTCGGCCAGTACGAACACGACGACGACTACTACCAAGCACGTGACATACACTCTCACTGTCTTTGTATGGGTGACAACGCCAATTCAACAAGCTCACACACAAGCCTAAACAAAACAAGTCGAGCCGCCTTCTTTGGTGATCTTTTTCCACCGAGCGCTCTTGAAGCTAACGGGCTCTTTCCGTATCTTGTGCAGGAGCTCTTCCTTCGACTTTGCTGGCGCTTTAGTCTATGATGTAGGGCTGTAGAGTTTAAGCTTCACACGTCCGGTTTGTCACTCTTTGCCTCTGCTGTTTCGGGGTTCCCGAGTTCCGGGGTTGGTGATGGTTGGTGGGGTTCACAGGTTGTAAGGTTGTAGTGAATGACCAACAAATTGGGTGCTAAAACAGTGGCGCTACTGATTTTGGACGCCAGCAACAGGTCTGATTGATGTCGCGTGCGAAAAATGGCAGCTCGTGTCAGCAGAACAGTACCGCCGCTGAGTCTAAACAAGTTGAAATGACGATGATGGCTCAATGTGCTGCATAACATAACCGTACCAGTAACGAGAAACATCACCCTTAACCCATACCCTCGGATATGCACCCCGTAGCAGCACCACAATCTCCCTTCCTTCAGTTTCCGCTTTGGCACGACCCTGCCGACACAAACTTGAAACACGTCGCTCGCCAGCTCCTTTCGGATTTGATTAGACCTGCGAACCAGAACAACCATCGTACCAACATCCTACAAGCATGGCACGAAAAGGACAACACTGATAAGATCCGTGATGCGTGCCAAACCCTCTCTGCCAAAAGCCAAAGCCCCCGCCTTCGTCTTGCCAGAAAAAGGATACTGGCCAGACAGAATGATGAACATCACCTGGCAAAAAACGCGTCAGTGTGCATTGACATAAAACAGGGGTTGACGGCATGCTGATTCTTCATAGATTCGGTACACTGCAATCAACTGCCAAGAGCGAAACCCCAAACCGTCCCAAGGCAATCCTATAACATACCCTAAAAGGTACCAGAAATAACCCTACACCCGACCCTGAATCCACACCGACACCCCATGAGCGCCGAGGTACAACACCGGCACTCCAGGAGTCACACCTGGGCTTCCGAAGGTAACGAAAATCTCGGAGCGAAGAAGTCTCTTCTTGTAAACACAGCTTTTGCTAATACAGTACAGTTGCTGTTCTTATTACTGTGACTTGTACAATTACTTCCAACTTCTTGATTTGGAGCTCTTTTCCCTATGATACGGAGAACGCACTTCAACAAAACGGCACTTGCTGGCCAAGGTGCCGCTGGTCATACTGTACGGGAGCAGTCACGAGCTCGGGGGCAACGCTGTACGGGGTGCCAGCCGCACGGGTGATCTTCGCTCCAGGTCGAAACGGGCAACACAAGCCGAAGTCAATCAGTTTGATGTTGCCAACTTCTCCATCTTGTACAGGCTTTGCGAACATGATATTTTCGGTTTTCAAATCACGAAATATGAAATTGGCTTGGTGCAGGTAAGACAAAGCAGAAAGAGTCTGTCGCATGATCTTTGCCGCATCTGGCTCAGGGAATCGTTGCTGAACGCACAAGCTTTCCAGCAAAGTGCCACCGGCACAAATATCCATGACCAAGTATATGTGGCGGCGATCCTCATAGCATTCGTAGGCTTTGCAAATATGTGCATGGTCCAGCTGGCGGAGAACATTAAACTCATCTTTGACGGTTTTTGGATCCGAGATCTTCTTTTTGGGGATGGTCTTCACGGCAACATAGGTTGCCATGGAAACGGCCTTTGTGCGAATGTCTCTGGCTCTGCTCACAACACCGAAACTGCCACTGCCCAGCTCTTCCAACATCTCATAGTTGTCCTGCTCAGGCATTCAGCAATTGGCAACGGCTGGGCAGCTTTCACCCCCATTGTTTTTGGGGCAGGACTGGCATCTCTTGCTGCACAACTCGGGTTCAAGGCTTCAGACATCGCCGTACACATGACGTCAAACAAGACACCAACCGATGTCCTCCAACTTGCCCTTCTTCACCTGTCCATGCATGTGCATTAACGACCGTGTGCAGCGCATGCCCGATCCACACATTCTGGCTGCTTACAACCCGGCGGTGCGAGATCACATTGCAGCTCTTGGCACTTAACTACACGATGAAATAACAACCAATCATATGCAAGCAGCTGTCGACAGTTAAAAGGTGTGTGCCAGTGAGGACGCGGCAATGCTTCAAGACAGTGTGAATGTGCGGACATCCCGGCCTGCGCGAGCAAAGCGCGGTCGAAGGCCTGCAAACCTTCCGTTTGGTCGCCAGTGGCAGCTGGCTGTTCGACGCGTGCGCAGGCGGCAGCCAGGGCAGCTCCCATGGCTCCCCCATCGCCATCAACCCCGCCAATTTTGCATCTTTTCAAGACGCCACACACTCGAAGCCCAAACATGCAGACAGGGATCGGCTGAAAGCACCGGTTTGATGAACATCCGGTTGTGGAGAGCAGAGCCCTAGGAATTGTTCGTCAGCATCGCCAATTTGCTGGATGACACCAGGTCACCAGGTTGCCAGCATCATGTGAAGAAGAACCTAGAAAACCTTGCACAAACGCAGCAGCAGCAACAACAACAACAACACCAAGAACACTACCGCAACGGGCGGCAGCAAGAGCAGCAGCACCACCACCAGCGAAACCAAGACCAACAGAAAGGCCAGCGGCAACAGCAACAACGACGGCACCACTAACTAACTGACTAACTAACTAACTAACAACCACAACCACAACCACAACGACAACGACCACGACCACGACAACAAGGACAACAACAAAAAGGTAGCACGTGCGTCTGCCACCGCGCGGATTGTCTCGTTTCTTTTTGGGAGGTTTTTTGGTTAAAGGCTTGAAAGCCCTGACTTTTGTGTGGTTTTCGTCAAAAAATGTTTCGGATTTGTTTCAACATAATTGTTGCTGTTCAAATACCATGTTGTTTCGTCTTTTATTGTTGATGAATGTTGGGGTTCGTCGCGAAGTTTTTGTTTGGGCAGCTTCAGGAACTCGAGGTTTTGCATGGTTGACGTTTGAAAAGTGAGGCAACACGAAGCGGCAACAAGGGCTTCACAGAGCAACCGGCAGCATTTGAGAAGTAACGCACCAAAAGAAACAGAAGACACGCCGCATTCGCATGGACATCATCACCCCCACCCCCCGCCATGCCCCCGCCCCCCGGGGGATGAGTCAATGCGAATGCGAATTGTGTTTTCTGTTTCTCGTGTTGCTTCCCATGTGTGTCGCATACTGGCATAGCGCATCGGTCTCTATGTTTTTTGCCGACACTCGACTTTTTGCACATGCCAGCTTAGACTTGCATTTGTCTTTCAGCTCTGTGAGGGGGTGGGGGTCCCCAGTCGGAGCCGGCAAGTGCAGAAAGTTGGGAGCCGGCAAAAAGCTGTAGCAACCGATGCGAAATGCGAGACATACAGGAAAACACCGAAGAACACGATGCGAAATAGAGAGCTGAGCAGTGACCGCAAAACCGATGCGAAAACAAACCACAAGTTCAATTCCGGGTGAGCAGAGTGCCAGAACTCGAGTTCCAGCATACGCCAGCAAAGAAGTCGCACCACACCGCGCGGCGGCAACCGCCCGTGCTGCCAACAACAACAGCAACATGATGCAACAGTAGCAACAACAAACAACAACCAGCGAACAACTACCAGCACCAACAACAGCAACAACGCCAACAAAATCAACAAGAACAATAACAACAACCACAACCACCGCCACCACCACCAATACCACCAACAAGAACGACAACGACAACCGCAATGACCGCGACAACGACGACAACATCAACAACAACTATACAACAACACCAACAACACCAGAGCCAGAGCGATAACAATAACAAGATCAAGAGCAGCAGCACCAACAACTTGAAAAGCACCAGCAGCAACAACTACAGCAGCAACAGCAACAGCAGCAACAACAACAACAAATCCATGCATTCGAGGCCTTGGGTGGAGGCTTAGATGCAAGGTAGCGCAGCATGATGGGGTCCACAGCTGGTTCCAAAAGGAGTGGTTAGCCACGGTTTTTGTGGGGCTCGCTGCGGGCCCTACAAAAATACGAGGGGTTTGGGACAGCTAAGGTGGCCGGTGTCTCTTGAAGCTATGCATTGGAGGCCTGGGATGGAAGCTTACATGCAAGGTCGCGCAACATGATGGGGTCCACGGTTGGTTGTCTAGGGACGTAACTTCCTCTACAAGGGTTATACAAGGTTATATGAAGGTATTAAGGGTTATATAAGCATTCTATAGCGGTTATCCTTAAAGCAAACGAGAGGGACTAAAATGGTCAGTCCCTAAGGCCTGAAATGGTCGCTGGATCATTCCAGTCCCTCCCTCTTTTCGATTCCCAGGAGTCCAGCGTCCCAGTCCCCGGCAAACCGAGGGTATGGCTCCGTAATCGTCATAGCCGCTCTCCGCGAGGGGTTCGTGTGGGGGTGGATCTAAAGCCAAGTTCCCAACCAAAAAAACGAACTGTACGTGGATGGGGTGACGAGTGGACTGCGTAGACCACACAGGAACACGGCGAAGAACCTACGGAATCTGTGGGGGAAACAACCGCACAGACCTCGGAACACGGACAGAACCCACAACGGAGAACGCACGGCGAAGAATTTACGGAAATGGTGCTGAAATGGCAACAACCCGAACCTGCATGGCCCGGGACCGCAGCGAGAAACCTACAACGCAGAATATCAGGTGAAGAGCTAACGGTGCCTGCAAGCGATAGCAACAGCCGTGATTGACTGGATGACCGGAGGAGACCTGCCATGGCGTTGCAAAAAAAAAGGGTGGTGAAGAGCTTGCTAGCCGCGAGCCGGTAACCCTGCCGAAAATAGCAACAACGCAAACACCTAATCTCTGGTCAACAATCCTACAATGGTGAAATGAAACCCTACGAAATTTGGAAGAACAGAAACAAAAACCGTGCAGGATCTCAGTATCGGCACTGGGAATACACTGGCCCTGCACGGGGAATGGAAAGCGAAAGACCTGTGAAACTTGCGGATAATGACAACAACATACAACATATACAACAACCAAAACCCCCCATTTCGGTGCGAGGCATGGGGTCTGGGATTACAGCGAGAACCCTACCGGGGGGAAGGGGTGCCAAAGACCTACGGAAATTGCGGAAAACTGCAACAACCCAAACATTTTTTCCCGGACTTTTACGCCTGCACGGCTCCCGAGGGTCCGTCTACCTGTCCGCCGAAACTACAGTAGGCTACCCCGCCACGGCCAACTAGCGCAATGGCAACCGGCTCGGCCCCGCCGCTTCGGCGAGGTCGAGCACACGGTCCAGTTCCGGGCCCTGCCAGTGGCTTGCGTGTGGCGGGGCGGGCCACGGGCTGCCCAGGGCCGTGCTGGCTACGGCCTGCTGCACCGCGACGGCTAAAGCGGCTCGCAGCGCCGGTGGTGCCCGTTCTCGGACGCGCACCAAGTCTCGAACGAGCCGCTGCGCTGCTTCGCTCCAGCGCCCCCCAACTTCGGAGCCAAGCACGACGAGTTGCTGAGGGCCGCCAGCGCTGAGCTCTGGGTAGGTGGCTCGCTTGCGCCACTCTTGCGCCGCTCAGCAACTCGCAGCATGGCGCCGTCATGCGGCGCGGTGCCGGGTTGCGGCTGGCCCGTACGAGTCAGTGGCGACACGAGGGTCGCGTCGCAGCACAGTGCTCCTCCCATGGGCGTCGCTCCATGGATCACCAGATCAAGGCGGCGCCTGTCGTCCGGGGCGACGCCCGGAGCAGTCGTGTTGCAGAGCCATTGCTGCGGGACTACAACCCAAACATACAGTAGAGGTCCTGAATGACAGCATACGACCCAGCAACGCGGAGTGGAAGGCAAAAAACACGGATCTTGCGGAAAGAAGCCGCAAGCCAGACCCCAATCCCAATGCGAGGCAATGGGGTCCCGGGATTCCTGGATGACAGCAAAAACCCGGCAATGCGGAATGGAAGGCAAAAAACCTCCGGAACTTTCGGAGATGGCCACAAGCTAGACCCCTAATCTCGCTGTGAGACGGGTGGTCGGGGATAAAAGCAAGACCCTACAATGGGGAATGGAAGGCATAAGACAAGCGGAACTTGCGGAAAATGCCCACAACCCAACCCCTCCCCCCCCCCAAAAAAAAAATAATCTCAAAGCGAGACGGAAGGTCTGGGAGGACAGCAAAAACTCTGCAACGCGGAATGAGGCAAAACGCCTGCGGACCTTGCGGAAAATGGCCGCAAGATGCCACAAGCCAGACCGACCCCTAATCTCATGCGAGCTGGTGGGTTTGGGGCTGCCGCAAAATCCTACACGGCATGGAAAGGCGAAAGGCCAGCGGAACTTGCGGATAGCATATGATAGCGACATGCCAAACCGTTAATCTCAGTGCCACACGAGGTGTCTGGAGCTGCAGCGAGCGGAATGGAAGGCAAAAAAACCTACAAAACGACAACACGTGGAAGTGCAAACAAAACGTATTCGCAGAATGGAAAGTGAATCTCGGAACGAGACGGGATGAGACGGGGGGTCTGGGATGACAATACCACTACAATACCCTACAATGGGGAATAAAGGGCATAAAACCTTTGGAACTTGCCGAAGATGGCCACACAATCTCGGTACGAGACAGGTGGTCGGAGATTGCAGCAAGAAGCCTACAAGAGGGATCTAGGGATTGCAGTATTTGCGAAGATGGCCGCAACCCAAACCCCAATGTCGGAGCGAGACTAGCGGTGTGGGAAAATTAAATGAAAATAGCATACAACCCTGAAAAGGCTGGCAGATATGTTCGTACCGGTGAAACTTTCGTGTTTTTTTCTGCTCCTGCACGTCGACGTCCTGTTGAGTCCCGGCACGGACGCTGCCTGCGCTCTAAGGCCGGAAAGGCAAGCGGCTCCGTCCCTCGGGGGGCAGCGTGCTGGAGGATGCCGTCGAGCGGTGGGCCTGCTCCGGCCTCCTGTTGCAACAACTGTACGCAGCCGCTACCCAAAGCCGTGCCAACGACTGCCTGCTGCACAGCGACAGAAAGCATACTCCACCAACGCCGCGCCCACGCCACGGTGGCTGCCCCGGGGATGGCCGGCGGGGCGCGGTAGGCTTTAAGGCGCACAAGATCTCGCACGAAGCGACGAGCCTGGGCGTTCCAGCGGCCGCGGACCTCCGAGCCGAGCACGACGAGCGTCTGTGGCCCGCCCCGCGTGAGCTCGGGGTATGCGGCGTGCTTGCGGCGCTCAGCCACTTTCGTGCTTATGCATCGGTTTTGGCCCTCCCGCCGGCTCTGAAGCTCAATAACTAATCCACTCCTTAGAGTACTGTAAGCCC